GCCCACGAGGACAGGGGCAGTGCCCAGAGGGATGCTGCCTGCAGACTGCCCCTTCCCCTGGGGACTCCAGCAGGCTGCCACTGCCACCTCCTTCCTCTTCACTGTTACCATAAAATGAAACACTACAAAACAATCATTTCCTCCCGCCAGCCCCCGAGCCCTGTGACGTCTGTCACTGCAGCTCCCCATGCAGCCACCTTCCCTTTCACACTGAGCCTCTAAGTGATGCCTGCCCGTGTGGGAGCCACGCCAGGACCACAGGGCTCATTGTGCCTCAAGACAGCCCTGCTGCAGAGCCCTTTCCTGTGTCTAGGCAACAGCCCAGAGTTCTCTTTTCCCTTTCCAGGTCTGTGACATCAGCCTGTCACACACGTGTGTGAATGAATTTAAGAGTCAGCCCAGAGCAGTGCCTGCCTGGCCAGGACCAGTGCTCTGCCTTTGCTCCGAGCTGGTGACACTGCATGTGGGAGGCTGTCACTGCTCACTCTAAAGCAGCTGCCAGGGCTTCTTCAGAACCCTGCCTGCTCTGGGACGCGTGTCCCATCGGAGGCACGATGCCTTCAGAACAAGGCACCAGCAGCTTTCCTTTGTAGGCTCTTCTGTCCCACAGCAGCCAATGGTTAGGTCATAGCATCTACCCCCAGCACTGCAAGGAGGGCCAGGGAGGGGATGAAGCACATCTGCTTGGCTGGAGAGCACGTCTGTGAGGTACTGAGCGCTCAGCCCCGCGGCAGGCTGGCTCCAGGGGCCACGGGCAGGTCCTCTCACGTTGGCCCTGCACCCCGAGGAATGGGACAGGGGCCTGAGGAGGGGCAGGGGTGTTGGCACTGTGCAGCACTGCCCGTTACACACTCACAGGAGAGAGGCTTCTCAGCCACCATCAGTGGAGGGCAACGGTAGCACGGCAGCGGGGAGGTAGAGAGGAGCACAGAGAGTGGAGAGAGACGTGGAAGACAGCAAGAAAGGAAAAAAAATAGTAACAGAAATAACAACACTGTAGTAAAAAACTTTGGCCTCTCTGTTCAAGCTAAGCAAAACAGGTATTACTGAAGAAGAAAGGTGACCTGAAGTAATCCTCTGGGGCTTGTTACAGTAACGGTGCTACAGTGCTTTGGGCCACTGACCCAGAACATGGCACACTCGGGTCCTGCTGGGGCTGGAAGGGACGCCCGGACTGTGAGCTCCAGCTGGCCTGACACCAGTTAAGGGCTGGACTGGGGAAGGTGCTTTTTGCTTTTTTTCATGTCAGAAAAGTACTTGATGCAGTCAGCTTCAGTTCCACCCGTTGGCTGCGGTCGAGCGCAGCGAGGCCGGCCGTGTGCCTGCTTAGTCTCAAGCACACGCTGAGCTCGGCAGCTAAACCAGGCCCAGAGCGACCAGCTCTCCGAGCTCCGCTCCCTCAGGTTGTGTCTGGAGCCACTGCAGTGAAACTGAACTGCACCCAAACAGAACAGCTCTGACTGGCTGTGCTGGCACCTCCGCCG